GGTGGTTGGGCCGGCCACGTTCAAATTGGAGCGCCTGGGCGGAAAGGCTGTCAAGAGGACCTGGAACGCCATGAATCTGAGAGCGTACAAAGGAATGGAAAGGGGTGAGATATCCGAGTAGTCGACTGGGAAGGAAGGGTCGGGCGCCCCAATTTTGTCTGGCTTGAGAGGTTAGCTCACTAAGCCAAAGAGGGTATACTATTACTGCAAGCGTGTCCTCCCACGCGCACTAATTATTGTTGTAAGGCGCCCAACACTTCGCCTCCGGAAATTGTCTTTTGTTGTTTCGAACTGCTTCCTTTGACAATGTAAAGCGCCCAGTCTTTAGCGCCCTATTAAATGTTCTTAATATTAGTTCATGGTTTGCTCATGCGTGTTCTTTTCTCCGTAAGTTGAACTACTTTCTGACAGCTGTAAAGCGCCCAGTCTTTAGCGCCCTCCGTAAGTTGAACTACTTTCTGACAGTGTAAAGCGCCCAGTTTTTAGCGCCCTAGTGAATGTTCTCAAAGAGAATATGAGTAGCCCATGGTCTGCTCGTGCGTACTCTTTTCTCCTTAAAGCGCCCTAAATAATCTGCGCCCTAAATAACCTGCTATGAAATGCTAAAGCGCCCTGAACAGTTTGCGCCCCCTTAAAAGAAGCGTAACGGAAAACGCAATCTCTCGAGTCGAGGGACGAGTAATTGAGAGAAGTAAAGCGCGCGTAACTATGCGCCCATAAATAAAGCGCCCGTAACGTTCGCGCCCATAACTACGCTTCCTGAAAAACAAACTACCAACGACCAAGCAAGCGCCCAACGGAGGTTCAAGGAAATCGACTTGCTACCAAACATCAATGGAATTTAGCCATGGTCCGAAAAAGTTCCAAACATACAGAAGAATAAACGATAACAAAGACAAGCAGAAGAAAATTGCACTAAGGGAAAGAGATGCGCCCCATTCACTCTTCAGCATCGACCTCGCCTCCGCTCCCTTCTTCGCCGCCCGAACCATTGGCACCAGCATCCGACGCGTCGCTCCCACTGAGGTCGACCCTTTCGTCCGCCTCCCCCTGCATCTCGGCGCTTTGGCCGTCTCCCGTGTCCTGCGCCTCTCCTTCCTGCTCTCCATCCTCCTCATCACCATCTTCCACGTCCTGCGCCTCCTCTTCCTCGACCTCACCTTGTGCGCCCTGCGCCCCCGCCTCTCCGCCCTCGGGAGTCGCGCGCTCTAGCTCCGTGATGATATGGCACATCAAGTCCTGAGCGTCGAAGTGCCAGTCCGGGTGGTCGGCAAGGAGCTTTTGCTGCGCTATCTCCACCGTGCTGATGACCACGTCAGCTTGCAGATTCTTCCCGGCGGTGGTGTTCTTGTAGTCAGCCAGGAGGAGCCGGGCTTTCTTCAAGTCCCGGTGGTAGAGCCTGCTCGTCTTCCGCTGCTTCTTGCCGGCCGCCTCCAGTTCGGCCACGGACTCGCGAAGGGAGTTCCTCTCCGCGTTCAGGGCGTCGCGCTCCCGGGTCAAGGCGCCCTCCCTCTCGCGGAACGCCTTCTCCTCCTCCGCCTTCGCCTCCAGTTGCACGGCGAAGTCGGAGGCCTTCTTCTGCGCCTCCTCACAGGCCGAGCTCAGCTCGTCCCGTTGCTTGTTCGCAGCTTCCAGGTCAGCTTGGAGGCGCGTAGCGGTGATCTCCGTATCTGTGCCCTGGCGCCTGATCTTGTCCACCTCGCGGGCGTTGGCCTCACACAGGAGCATCATCTGAAAGGCAGGGCGCATTAAAAGGAGTTCAGAGGAATTCATACAGCTAGGATGGGAAGTGGGCAGCGTAAAAGGACTTACTTGCGCAGTCAAGTTGGTCATCTTGCGCCAGGGCTTCTCAGTCACAAGGTTGGCCGGGTGCTCGACCACATCGTATTGAGAGCGCGCCCATTGCACGGAGGCGCCTAGATCCTTCGCCGCCTTCACTGGCACGCCCACCGCGACCTTAGTGAGGGGGCGCCGGGGAGGCTGCAGGTAAGGAGGAATCTCCTCGCCAGTGTGTGGCCCGATGGTGGGCGCCACAAAACTGGGGGGGAGCCCCGAGGCGCCCGCCTGCGACTCCTTCGCCCGTTTGGCGGGAGGAACTCGGTCATCCCCGGACCTCTTTCGAGGCGCATGCCGCGGGGATGGACGTGAGACCTCCTCCCCACCCGCCTGGTGCGCCGTCTGCGAGGAGGGGGATACTGGAGACTGCGGGCGCTCCCGCACAGTCGGGCTCCCGCGGGGGCTGACTTGGCCAGAGCCTGCGCTCGCGGCCGGAGAGCTACCATGCGCCCCACCAGAAGCGCCCAAAGCGGGGGGGGGGGGGGGGGGGGGGAGGCAGCAGCCTTCCCCTTTGATTTTATGCGAATGGTTCGCCTCGGAGGCGTAGAGGCGGAAGGCCTCGGAGAAGTAGGCGCCGAGTTGGTAGGTGAGGCGCCCTGGCCGATCCCCAGACGGGATCGGATGATGGACGACACCGAGGTATAGTCAGTGCCTGCGAAAGAAGAAAATAGAGATAACAATTAGCAAGGCAGTAATGGGCGCCTAAAAAAAAAAAAAAAAAAGGGGTGCATGTGAAGAAAAGGCAGGGCGCACGCGATGGAGTACCATCTTGATAAAAATCCGCCAAGTGCTGCACGTACGCGTCGTCATCTTCCAGGTCGAATGGATCCTCGGAGAGGCGCGCAGCACTGGCCAACTCCGCCTCATTCAAGGAAGCGGGTTTATTGAAATACTTGGGCGTCCCCAGCGCCCACCGAGTCAAGGCGGGGCGCCCACTCGCGAAGAAAGGCGTTTCACGAGGGCAAACAAAAAAATAGGAATCAAACCACGTGCGCCCCAACTTCTGACAATCCTTAATGAAGTGGTAGCCTATTTTCTTGCGCTTGTGGAGTATGAGGCAGTTCTTACTCCGGCTCATCCGGAAGAAATGATTGAAGAGCTTGAAGGTAGGCTCGATGCTCAGACGCCGACACTTAAGACGAAAAAGAATGGAATACAATATGACCGCCGGGGAGAGGCGCCCCAGCGAACACCGGCACGAGTCAAGGACCCCTTCAAGGACGGGGTCGAGGGGAAAGCGCAGCCCGAATCTTAGGTACTCTTGATATACCCCAACCCAACCGGCGCCACAGGCGCCTATCCGAGCTGATCGAGGCGCATGGGAGTATTGCCAAGGCGCAGGCATCTGAGCGGCTACCAGCAATTTCTCGAGGCGCACGCGCACGAGCTTCGACGGATGCTTCGGCCCCACTGATTCCAAGGGCAACCCGGCTACGTCGTCGGGCGCCTGCCCCGGGGCCCAAGTCGATTCCCACGAACGAAACGCATAACTTTGCGATGCGTCAGGGCCTGGGGCAAGGGGGCAAAGATAGGATTAGGCGAAGAATACGTGGGGGAACAGTCCACACAAGGCGCACTTAATGGCGGGCTCAAAGGGATTAGGCGTACGACAAATGAGGGGAGAAGGCGCATAGTAACAGGCTAAGGCGTCTAACTAAAAAAAAAAAAAAGGAGAGGCGCATTGGGGGCAGATGTCTTACGTCGAGGCTCGGCGGCCGAAGAAGTGGGGGCGCCTGAGCGTGAGGAGGCAGGAGCGACGGAGGAGGGCGCCGAGCGCGAAGCCGAAGGCTGCTGGGAAGAGGCCATTGGTGGGAGCGAAAGTCGAGGCGTGCGAGCAACTAAGGAAGGCGCACGGGAGGGCGAGTGGCCGTTTCTAGTGAGAGAAAGAAGAGAGAGGTCAGAGCTTTCTGAGGGGAAGTGAGGAAAAAGTGAGGGGGGGGGAGAGGAGAATATATAGTGGAGCGGGAAGCTCAAGAGTCTCAGTGTTAGCCCGTTTTGAATTTCGAATTTCGAAATTCAAAAATTCAAAACGGCCTGGGGGGAGATAGGGGGAAGCTCAAGAGTCTCACAGAGTAGGTGAAGTCCAGGGGTCTCACGATGGGATAGAGGAGAAGTCTAAAGGTCCTAGAGAAAAGGGGGGGGGATCCCGAGGATACCTTGATAACATTCAAAGTGCGGGAGCTGAAGGGTCCGCAGCATTAGAGAGGATCGATCAATCGCAAGCGATGAAGTCCGGGGGCAAGGCACGCAGAAAACTAACAAGGCGCTACGAGGCTAGGGCGGACAGCAAGGGGAAGAACCAGGGAAGCGCGGAGGCAAAGGTCTGGGAGCAAGGCGCATGGGTGGCAAACAAGGCGAATCGAAGCGGAGACGGACGCAATGAGTCCGAGGGCGCCTGGTGAAAGTCCACGCCTAAGGAACACCATGTTCCAGCTAGGCGCCCTGGAAGAAGCCTCAGGCGCCTAGCTGGGGGGGCAATTGTTGGGGATGTATACATGGCCCGCGTGGGTTGGACCGATAGGGCCCAAGAGTAGAGTTTGGAAGGCTGAGGAATTGGACCCGGCCCAATGGGCCCAGAGGCAGAGGGAAAGTTGGCCCAGGGATAGGGAAGAGCTTCTCCAGACGGGTGGGGTCCGCAACCCTGACACGAGGCGTGTGCGACAGGTGGGCGCAGGGGTGTCCCAGGGTACGGGTCTGAGGACTAACTGACGTCATGCGCCTGACCCTTCTGAACGGAGTGTCAGATGGTCGAGGCGCATGAGCGCTGGGCCGTACGGAGCATTAATTGCGGGTCTGGCAAGGGGCGGAGGAGAAGGATGTTGGTCGGCCGGGCTTCGAGTATAAATAGTCGGTTGGTGAAGTTCATTTACTCAGGTTGGTACTTCTCTCTAAAATTACTATTCACTTCTCTCTCTAGAAAAAGGAACTGACTTGGGCGTTGGAGTGCTAACGAGTCCTCCTCGGGACTCAGGTTAGCCGTGCAGCGTGCAGGTTCGAGCGTGCTGGAAGGGTCAAGCGCGAGGGTTCGGGTCGCCCAGTTACCGGGCTCGAACAAAGGGTATACAGGTAATTTGACATCTAAGTTAGGGCGATGTTTAGCAATTTTAAGGGCGACATTTAGCAATCCAGAATATCCCGCGTTATACATACATAATTAATTTTTACTAGCTATATGCATGTGAATTAACCAGCGAGGTGAGGTACGTTACGTACCAGCCGAAGAAGAAGTCGATGGCTCGTGAGGCGGCAGCGCGGCCGGAAGGGGTGTTGTATTTAGGAGTGTACCAGTTGGTGACAATGGTGATTCCAATGTCTCCCTTGTGAAGGGACTTGTATTTGGATCTGTAGAGCTTCACCACTGCGGCGTGGCAAAGAAGCAGATGGTGGCCTGCAATGTAAGGCTCCGTCGCCGAGTTACCGGCGCTGCAGTTCCCCACGTACTTGGAACATCGACCGGGGGCAAAGTTGCCGGTGTTGTAAGCGTTCACGGCGTACCCATTCGGCTCGTTCATCGTCACCCATAGCTTCACCCTGTCACTGAATGTCTTGAAGCACAAGTTCGCATACGCCAAATACTCACCCCTACATACATTGCATGCAATTAATTGTTTTTGTACGTTACGTACAAAAAACTAGAAATACAACAATTAGGCATTGAGATCGATCCAATTCCAAGTAGTAGCAGTAGATGGCTGAGATCAATACACAATCTTGGGGCTCAAGAATCCACCATATTCATCTTCAAGAGCTTGGGGAAGATCGAAGTGCCACAAAGTGACCAACGGCTTTATGCCTGCGTTCATGCAATTGGATCGATCGGTCCATCGAACTAGAGATGATTATGCGGTACTTACAAAATAATTAATATGCAACAAAATTGTATGGTCACCGTTGGCAAGGAGCTCATCGATGAGGTCGTTATAGAACGTAACGCCAACTTGGTTCACTCCTCCACTGAGTTTGCCATCTAATTAACCAACCAAACACACAAACACTGACATGCCGGCCAGCAACTTATATATAAATGCAATTAATTGGTTGATAACAAATAATTACTTGGCAATATTCTGCTCCATGATATGGAAAACCTGAAAGAGTCCAGACCAATCTTCTTCATCAGTTTTATGTCTTCCTGCATATAAAATTAGCTATTGCTAATTAAATGTGAAATTCATTCATTTCTCCTCTCAATTTTTTTTTGTATATGTTAAATCATCGCTTCATATGATAGATATATGCTTATTACCTACCTTGTACTTCTTGTAGAAGTTGTCCGCCAAATCTCCGGTACTGTGATCCATTATTTTTTCTGCCAATTTGAAGAGCCATATTGTATTATTGTTGATTAATATACTATCTATTGCTAATGCATCTTCAATTGGATGCCACATTGTTTTATATAGGGTTCCTCCATGGTACTCTCTTATGTGCAATCTCTAACTATGCGAAAGTGATTTGAAAAAAAGATTATGTGAATTTACACAAAAACTCGTTTACAACTTGTTTGTACTGTTAAGTATTCTTAAACTTGCTCGGTACAAAAATCATTTGAAATTTACCTAATGACTATTATAAGAACAGCTTTATCATCGCAAAAGTGTGAATTAGTTGTTTTTTAACTATATCATCACCGAAATCAAATTACAACGATTATAAACTAAAATTATATGGAAAAGTTATTGATTATTTAGTTCAGAAAACTATTTTGACACAGTCGATTACACGGATCAGAGGACATGGATGAGCTAGGCACAAGAGCAAATAGGGCTAAGACACCTCTCGCCGGAAATGCTACTATAAGGGACCCCATAGCCACCCGAGACCAACCGGTCATCAGGAATCACGGCCAAGAATGATAGTTGCAAATTGCAATACCCGAGGACCAAACCTTAAACTCTTAGGTCACCAACACAAATAATGAACTGTTTGACTACAAACCCTCATTCGCATTAAGTGGAAAATTCACTTGCATATTCAATAAAAAAGGGTTTGGGCTATTGTATAAAACCTCATTATTTATAGTACTACAAAACTCAATTCAATGATCCTAATTTGGGAATGGAACATCCAATGATTCATATCACAAAGGGGCAAAGAGGAAAAGTATGAGAGAGGGAGAGGCAACCCGAATTTTGCTACCCGGATTTAAGGACTTACCCATGCAGATTTCAAGGCGCCTATTAAGGCATTTTTAACTTTCCAATGAAAATTCAACGAACCACAGCACATTCATTTTACGTTGGATTTATAAAAAAAGAATTGCATAGAAAAGTCATATTTCTTCTGCTATACAAGATGACATCCATTTTGATATTTTTGTGGAGTAAAACATTTTCAGGTCATATCATATCAAGTTTGTGTCATTCATATCAAAATCGTAACAGTTTTATGTCATTCATATCATAACATTTTATATCCATATCATATAAATTTGTATAATTTCATATTAGTTCAATGTCATTCATATCAAGATCATATTTGTTCATATCATATCGGTTCATATATCAAGTTTATGTCATTCATATCACGATTGTATTAGTTCTATACCATTCATATCAGTATCATATAAGTTCATACTATTTATATGACAGTGATAATACTATAACCGATACGGATTTTGAAGAGTTTATTTTTTAGTTTTTTAAAATATAGAAAAATGATTATCAATGTCTTAATCATAATAAATGTGTACTTTCTATGTAAAAAATTAATTTTGGATTTAAAACGAATTCTGTAGGATTCGATTAAGAAAAATACATTATCTCTTCCCTAGATCCGTGTAAGGCTATTAGCGAAAAAAACTAGTGTGGCGAAATTATCAATCTGCCCCTCTTTTTTGTTCTAGATTAATGTGGGCCATCAAGTCTGTTACGATCAGACTAATGAATTTTGAGTTTTGTAGCTTTGATTTTTTACGATAACCCTTTGAGATTGCGTTATATATTGTGACTTGGGATAATGGTTGGAATAATCCTTTGGACTTTGCTATGGTGATTTACACATTTCAGTCAACCGAAAGGTGAGAATGGTCGACCGAATCTACTAATTCCTTTCGGTGACTGTCAACAACGTGGTTGACCTTGTACATCAAATGGTCGACCCCTTCGCCAAGAATGTAGTCAAAATCGCGTTTTAAAACTTAAAAACTTACGATTGCACGCTTCTAGGTCACCAAAACGCTTTCGTTTCCATATAAAATCTATAGTGTACAAAATCGGACTAAATTGCGGTTTAAAACTAAAAAACTTACGATTTTACGCATCTAGTTAACCTAAACGCTTTCGCTTTTACGCTTCTAGTTCACTAAATGAGTATTTTTTTCATAAAATTAATTATAAAAAATATATTTTAAAGGTACATAACTAACAATATAATCATTTGAGATTAAAAGATACATACCAGATCTTGGATGCATTCTTAGCTTCAATAGAGTAATTTAATTCTCGAATTCCCAAATTCATTAGCATAAAGAGGATGGTGGCTTATTATTAAGGTCTATGTTTATGAACTTATTGTTAAGATGCTATGAGTTGCTCTACTTTAGACATGAATTGCAGGTATTTATTAACTTATCTAATTTCTGTGCACTCATATATTACATAGTATATGTCATACTTACAAGATTTTAGCCATTTTAAACTATGCATAAAAAACTTACGCTTTTACGTTTTGATTCTACGCTTTACGATTTTACCCATTTTCCGCTTTTAGGTAGAATCACGCTTTTGACTACATTGGCCCAGCGAACAACACAAAAGGTCGACCTCGTATGCTAAAATGGTCGACCGTGTGCATTAAGAAGGTTAACCTGTATTGGATTAACTTATCAATATCAAATTCAAACTTATTTCTGTAAACAGTAGAAACGGTCGACCTGAGAAGTACGTGGTCGACCTCTTACATACTATCTGTATTCAATAAGGATTCCAACACTAGAAAGGTAACCCTAAGTTGTCTACCACTTAATTCTCCCTAATATCGTCTTAAATATCTATAAAAAATAATATATGTCACCTTCACCGCCACTCGAACACTTAATTTGGGTTCTTCTAGGGTTATAGTTTTGGTGATGAAGAAGACTGCTGCTTGTTTTTCTTGTTCCGGTTCCAGACAGACGACCACATACAAGGTGAGGTTGACCTAATTTAGGATACGATGTTATTTAATTAGACGATGGTGCATGATGAGAAAAAACAACACAATGATGGTGAGATTATGAAAGTGTTGAAAACCACACAAGGGCAGATGGTGATTTGTCGAAAAGAATTCAATAACTATCAGAATTCCATGTGTGATACACTGGAGAAGTTGTCAGTTCGATTGACAGATATGACTGGGATGATGCATGATGGTTTTGAGAGGCTAGAACGTGTTATCGAAGAAATGCGTGAAGAAAGAATGGAGAAGGGACAAAGAGATGGTACCACAAAGAAACTTGACTTTGATGAAGAGGAGGAAGACCATAACGAGTCTGCAAATTGCTACAAGAGCATAGACGATTTATTGAAAGACTGCAAGTTTAAGGTGATAGTATATTCATGTGAGTGAAGATATTAGTATGACTATCATCAGTGTTAATTTGTTTTTTATATGATTAATAGAGTCAAGTAACATTTGGCAGCAATGGTTCCTCTCCTTAGTACAAGAAATCTCGATATGAAAGTCATTCATACACCACTCCACAGAAGGATCATTTAGCAAGAAAAGGATTATTTGGTGATGGTAGCGACGAAGATGAATCTAAGAGTCCTTATGAAAAATACAGAGTAAGTCTAAGTTACATATTGTGTGTTTGTTTTCATATGCAATTTCAATATTAACTCTGAGTTGTAGGTCATGAAAGTGGAGGGGCTAGCAGATTTTATGAAATATATGCAAAATTCAGTCGAAGACTTGTTTTACGTTGTTACTAAAGAGAAGGTTGGAGACACGAAATAGGACAAGTAAGAGAAGTATTATTTTCTTAAAATAGTTCATCTGGTCGACCGTCACAACAATGAGGTCGACATATTGCATGTCCAAAATAGGTCGACCATGCCAGTGAATAGTTTGACTGTTTGGTGCAAGTCACAATTGACAATACTGTTTTTTTTTTTTTGCAGTTTGGTCATTTTTTACTTTGTTCAAGAAAACATACAAAGGAAAAAATATTTGAGTTCGGTCATTAGAGAGAATAGTTGGATCTGCTCATCCGTAAGTATTATTATACTACGACTTTGGTATGAGTTGTGCATTATTTCTGTTATGATTTACGATGATTTTGTGGTTGACTATTGGTTTGTAGGTAATGGATTTGTGTGCATTGCCACTAACAATGTTTGGAAAAAATTAAAATAAAGAGCCAAATGTGTGGTATTTTCCAAATATATTTTCGGTAAGAGCAGTATTTTGCATTCATTGGTCTTAACCTAGTTAATAATATTGTACCATGTCAAGTAATTTTAATAAAAATATGGTGCATAAAATGGTAGGTCGTCACATGAAGACCGAAAAAATTCGTAACAAGTTTCTGGATGATGGCGTGGTGTTTATGCCGAATGTTAGTGCATGTCAGAAGGTTTGCCAATGTACTTATCTCATTAAGCTTTCAAAGTGAATTTGCTTCTATTCTCATTTTAATAACATACTTTTTCCTAGCTAGATATTTATGCCAGTTTTGGACGATGATGCACGTCCTTGGTTTTTGTATCTCGTCAATGTCCAGCAAAAAATGCATTTTTGCTTGACAATCTAACACCAACTAGCGAGGCGGGTCGTAAACGTAAATCAAATCAGTACTACAAGAAAATGGTAAGTGTTTCCTATGAGATTCTGACTACTAATTAAGTGTCATGTGTACTGCTAGAAGCATATAATATTCGTTGTTTGTGTATAGTTGTCCAAACTGCATGATATGTTCAAACCTGAGCGCATAAGTAATGCAACATTACCTTATTTTGAAGATTTCAATATCGATGAGCTACGCGTTCAGGGGCCAAGGAATGGTACCGAGTGTGGTGTGCACATGATGCAGTGGATTCGTTATGGATCCAAAGAACTGGATAGAGTGATTAGTATATCGTCAACCAAAAAACTTGCTAAATTTTGATTTTGTTTTTTTAGTTCTAAAGAAGTGTTTTATGCCATAATGCAGTACATGTGGTATCTGCCTACACATTTTGGAAACCGTGCACGAGAAAATCTTTTCAAGCATATAGTAGATGAATGTGCGGAACGAGGCAAAGAGAGAAAGAGTTCAAACAAAAAAGCAAAGAAATGATATCATTCAGTTACAATGTTACAATTGTAAGGCAATACGTTAAATTTTGA